TGTTTCAACCCCACACTTCAAAATATTAATTTTTATATGATTTGCCAACATAAAGCAGTTCAAAAGTGTTAAGATGGAAGAAAATGACGGCTGGTATTTAATGTTTTTTATTGCTCAAGGAAAGAAAAAAAAAAAACAAAGAAAAAAAAAACAGAGATCTTTGAAGAAAATTATAGAATAGTTGAAAAAGCTATAGGAAGTCCTGTTTGCAGTCTGCACAACAGAATGGTTAATAAAAGAGCTTATGTAGGAAGAATGTAAAATTTGTTACCTGTTATATAAAAAAAACAACAACCTAACATTGTTCTTCACCTGGACACAGTTCACATCCAAAACATAGTGGTGGCAGTATCATGCTGTGAAGATGCTGTAGGAGGATGAGAGTAATTCAAAGACATCACACTTCTTATAAAAAAGAATGAAAGACATGTATATCTTTCCTTTCATTCTATGAATTATCATCATTTATGGATTAGAATGGTATATCCCCACTTTACTGAGGCAAAAGGCATTTGTTGTTTTATAACTATTTTCCCATGAACACAGAGAACTCACATTATTCTACACTTTTTACCTGTTTAATCAGAAAATGTGACTGTGCTTAAAGAATAAAACAAACAGAGGATATATGTGCAAAGAGAACTTTGTTGCAGGTTATTATTCTTAGAACTAACAAGTGTTTGACATTTAAAAATAAAATCAAGACATAGACTTTCTCAGGAGGTTTGATCTGGAAAATTGTCAGAAATATGAAGGAAACGTAAAAATGAAATCAAAAACATTATCAAACCAAATTAAATTATAGTTCATGGGTTAAAAACAGACCTCACGTTGTCCTGACCGGTCAGCGGGAAAAAAAATTGGTGTACAACGAAATTAAACCAAAGCTGACCCTGTGCTACTCAGACTGTGAAATCCAAAATGATGCAACACTTTAAGGAAAAGTGAGGGAGACTTTTTGGTGACTGCATCCTAAACATCTTATAGTTTATCTTTGTTTTTTTGGAATTTGTTCTGCATTTCATCATCCGGATTCATGGAGCACACCCTTGCTGCAGGTTTGACCTGAAGCAAAAAAGCAGACTGCCGCTAAGTGGACTCAAACTTATATTTTTGTGCCCCTCAGTATTTGACTGTACTCGTGTGACCACAGGAATGCTTGTTTTTATGTGTGCCTTGGTTGTGACATTGCTGACGCTGTGCAGAGTGAGAGTGGCGGGTTAGTGCTCTCTTAGGAATGACAGGAAAGGACAGAAAAAGAATGTAGATGTTGATGAATGCCTTTGGTGTCTAAGCTACAACCTGTTATTATGGTCAAGCTTTCTATATGAGAGCTGCTGGCGAGGCGACACACAGAGTTATATGAACAGCTCCAGGTCCAGTTTGGTCTCCTGTGGTTAAGCCAAACCATCAGTCAGATTTGGGAGTGCAGACACAGGATCAGCTGCACATCTGGACAAGGCCACCATTGAGCTTTAGATTGTCTGTAGAAACAGCTAAGAAAGTATTAACATTAGTGTGCGGGAGGTCCTAAAAACCACTGGGGGTATTTTCTGTAGAAGGCCATAGAACAGGACATATATAGCACTGGCAGGAAGGAGCAAAATCTAATGACACAATACCCTCCACAACGGTGGATTGTACTCTTTTTAGCATAAGGAGGGTAAAAAGAACGTCACAGCAATGCCAGAAAACAAACAAATCACTGATTTGTTCAATGTAAATCAAATAAAAAAGTGTGTAAAGGAAATCAGTCAGGCTGAGTGTTTGGGGCCATTTATAGATTCCAAGGACAGTGGATGCTTCCTGTTTGGCTTTCTATTGTTCCTGGACTGATAGTGATCCTCTGGGAGCGCTGCTGCCACCAGGATGTTACCAGCAAAACAGACCCATTATAACTTACTTGGTTATGTGGAGGAATACCATTACATCTAATGGCTTTCTTACGCTTTAACAATAGGGTTCCCATAGGGTTCTTTGGTAATATCTCGCTGGCTACAACTATATCCCAGAGCTCATACATAATGTACATTTAAATTCAGTTAGTGAGGGTTATGAATTTTCTTTGTTCATACTAGTTTGATGTGACTGGTATGTTTCACAGCTGCTCACTTACTGGGAGGAAATTCTGCTGACTCTACCCTTCATGCCACATATATTTGCTGCCATCTGGCGGACAGTCTGAGTACAGCAGGCAGCAGAGGGCAGTGGAGACTTCAGCCGCTCTATGGAAAGGCAAAGTATGCCGAGGCTGCCCCCTTGTGGGAAAAAAAAGTAGTATAAATTAGGAACGCATCTCAAATTATATTTTTTAATTTTGAATACAGAAAACTTCCATTTTTTAAATTTATTGTAATGAAATTAGTATTTACACTGCAGCTAATAGGTAGGTAACTGGAGTTAGAATAAAAAAGATTTAAATCTTTGTTGAGTAGTTCAAGATCTCCCTATTTAAATATCTGCTTTAGTGATTTTATTTGTAAATTAATCCTGGTATAAAGGATAGTGCTTCAAGACAAATCATTATTTTTATATTTTTAAATATTCATCAGAAACAACAACACCCCATGTAGACTGGGTCCTTTAGAGGGTGCAGCTGCTGATATACAGGTCCTTCTGAAAATATTAGTATATTGTGATAAAGTTCATTATTTTCCTATGGACTGATAAAAGTTGAACACTCATATATCATGGATTCATTGCACATTACCTGAAATATTTTAGGTTGTTTATTGTCTTAATACGGATGATTTTTACATACAGCTCATGAAAACGAAATGACTGCTTCAATGCGGCGTGGCATGGAGGCAATCAGCCTGTGGCACTGCTGAGGTGTTATGGAGGCCCAGGATGCTTCGATAGCGGCCTTTAGCCTAGCCACAGTGTTGGGTCTTGTGTCTCTCAACTTTCTCTTCATAATATCCTAGATTCTTTATGGGGTTCAGCTCAGGAGACTTGGCAGGCCAATTGAGCACAGTGATACCATGGTCAGTAAACCATTTACCTGTGGTTTTGGCACTGTGAGCAGGTGCCAGGTCGTGCTGAAAAATGAATCTTCATCTCCATAAAGCTTTTCAGCAGATGGAAGCTTAAGGTACTCCAAAATCTCCTGATAGCTAGCTGCATTGACCCTGCCCTTGATAAAACACAGCGGACCAACACCAGCAGCTGACTTGGCACCCCAGACCATCACTGACTGTGGGAACCTGACACTGGACTTCTGGCATTTTGGCATTTCCTTCTCCCCAGTCTTCCTCCAGACTCTGGCACATTGATTTCCAAATGACATGCAAAACTGAGCAACAGTCCAGGGCTGCTTCTCTGTAGCCCAGGTCAGATGCCTCTGTTCAAAAGTGGATTGACCTGGAGAATGCGGCACCTGTAGCCCATTTCCTGCAAAAGCCTGTGCATGATGGCTCTGGATGTTTCTACTCCAGACTCAGTCCACTGCTTCCGTAGGTCCCCCAAGGTCTGGTATCGGCCCTTCTCCACAATCTTCCTCAGGGTCCAGTCACCTCTTTTCGTTGTGCGGCGTTTTCTGCCACACTTTTTCCTTCCCACAGACTTCCTATTGAGGTGCCTTGATACAGCACTCTGAGAACAGCCTATTGGTGCAGAAATATCTTTCTGTGTCATACCCTCTTGCTTGAGGGTGTCAATAATGGCCTTCTGGACAGCAGTCAGGTCGGCAGTCTTACCCATGATTGGGGTTCTGAGTGATGAACCAGGCTGGGAGTTTTAAAGGCCTCAGGAATCTTTTGTAGGTGTTTAGACTTAATTTGTTGATTCAGATGATTAGGTGTATAGCTCGTTTAGAGACCTTTTTCATGATATGCTAATTTCATGAGAGGAATTTGGGGTTTTCATGAGCTGTATGGCAAAATCATCCATATTTAGACAATAAAAGACCTGAAATATTTCAGTTAGTGTGCAATGAATCTAAAATATATGAATGTTCAAGTTTTATCATTACATTATGGAAAATAATGAACTTTATCACAATATGCTAATATTTTGAGAATGACCTGTAGACCACACTAGATTCATTTAAACAGATACTCCCTGGGGCTGCATCAGCTTCTTGGCTATAGTTTATCCGATCTAGATCACCCCAAACAAGCTCAATGGTTGACATGTCTGGTGAGTATGCCGGCCATGAAAGAACTGGGATGGTTTCAACTTCCAATAATTTTTTACAGATACTTGCAGCATGAGGCCGTGCATTATCCCGCTGCAACATGAGGTGATGTTGTTGGATGTATGGCACAACAAGGAACCTCAGGATCTTGTCACGGTATCTTTCTTCGTCCATAACGGACGACTGCCTATATACACTGCCACACATGCTGTCTGCCATCTGCCCTGAACAATGTAAACCGGGATTCATCCGTGAAGAGAACACCTCTGCAGCGTCAGACGCCAGCAACATTTTCCTGCTCAAGTCGGTTACCACGACCAACTGGAAGCCGGTGGAGACCCAATGATTGCGACTAGCATGCATATAAGCTTCCCTGAGACGGTTTCTGACAGTTTGTGCAGAAATACTTTAATGTAAACCAATTATTTCAGCTGTTGTCCGAGTGGCTGATCTCAGATGACCTTGGAGGTGAACATGCTGGATGTGAGCTGGTGTGTTTACACGTGGTTAGCGGTTGTGAGGCTGGTTGGACGTACTGGCAGATTCTCTGAAACAACTTTGGAGTTGGCTTATGCTAGAGAAATAAACATTCAATACACAAGCAACAACTCCAGTTGAAATTCCTGCTGACATGCCCAATACACCCTCCCTCAAATCTTGTGACATCTGTGGCACTGTGATGTGTTATAAAGCTGCACCTTTGCAAACACAGCTCTCCATATATAAACATGGTCATGAGTTTTTGAAGTTTTTTTTTTTTTTTAAACAGACTAGATCATTTTGTATTTAACTTGTGAGACATCAAGGACATGTTTCTGTTTTAGTCACTCAAAAGTCATAGATGTGATTATTTGAAAAAATGTATTTGTATGTACTTACATACTGGTGTCAAAAGAGTATGCACCAAAATGTCACACTTACACTTACAAAGAAAAAAAAAATCTTTCAATTGCAAGTATTGAAAAACCTATTTACAGAAAAAAAGGTATGCTGACGCGAGTACACTAGAAACAGACAATCACAACAGTTTAAATCAGACTTCAGGAAAATAAAAACAAAAGGACAGGACAGTTACAGTCTCAGTGCTCTGAACTTCAAAATGTTTCTCCATCTCAGAAAAATAACCTTGTGCTTTCTTACCAGTCCAGCATCAAGGGGTGCTTACAAAAAATATCCTTCTTTAAAAACCACCACAGGACTGACTAAAAAAAAAAAAAATTAACTGCTCAATGGAAGGTTTTATCCTCTTTACCTAAAATACATTATCCCAAACATGTTTTAAAAGGTGTTGTAGCAGAGGAACAGAGGACGGTGCTGGAGACGAAGAGTTTTCCTGCCATCCTTTCATACAGATTGATGAAAGTCCACAAGCTTCATAAACTTTGACATTTTCCCCACATGAACATTTACAGGCTTTTAACTGACAAACCAGGAATGGAAAAAAACAAAAAAAACAAAACAAAGAGGCAGGAAGTTCACAACTTACTTTCACCATATCAGCAAGACGAGATAAATCATTCGGTATTAAAATGGAAAGATGCATGATTGAAAGACGAGCAAAACAATTCATTCCTCTCTGCCATGAGAGAAGTCAGAGACACAGGTTGAGATTTAATAAGAGGGGGAACCAGAGTGACATTAGACGACCCCTTCTCAGCTAGCCACAAAGCTTTAATCACAACTCGCCCTCACTCATTCATACCATCTGCCACGCATCAGTGGAGCGTTGCCCAGTTTCATGGCAGTCCAAGGAGGCTTTTATAGTGCAGAGCAACACAGATCTCCGACAGTAAAAAATAAACTAGCCTAAAGACGACCTTCGAGCTTTGCTGAAATAAAGCAAAGCTGCCGCCTGGAAACTAATGCAGTAATAGTGTGCAGCTCAGGAGTGAACTCATGATAAAGAGATTGGAACGTCTAGAAAATAAAATTATTTCTGTGAGCTGGGAAGGCATTGATAGCCCCTTTAATGGATGTAGGTGTGAACTGATCTTTAGAAACACCTGCAGAGTCAGTCAATGTAAAAATTCACCAAGAACTGAGCACAAAGGAAAAAAACAAAAACAAACAAAAAAAACTATACACATCTTATTGGAGCTGATGTTTGTTGTTTCGACCCCTCCTCCTTCACTCGCTTTTCCCCTTTTTGCTGTTTCTGTTCTCCTCTGGCTCAGCGCCCTCGGCCTCCTCCTGGAGCTTCCTCTTCTTGGTGTTGTCCGGCTGAGCCGGGTGTGGTCTGAACGTGATGATCATGCAGGTCATGTTGTCACATCCTGTGCCATCTCCAGATGTGTCAGGAGCCAAACAGTGATCCAAAAGCTATTTGGAGGACAGAATTTACAGAGATGAATGTAAATGAACCAACCTAAAAAAAAGTAGTTCAAAGTAGGGCTGAGCGATATGACCTCAAATCAATGTCACGATAAATACTCCAGCTCCTCCATCAGAAATAAAGGCAGGTGCAGGAAAGTTAGCTGATCTATTTATAATTTACTTATTGAATAAATCATATTTCATATTACTTTCAATTAAATATTAAAGTCTTGTACCCAATCATAAAAAATTCAACAATATCTCATTGAACAGGAGAAAAAAAAAACCTCTCCTGAAAAAGAAAAAAAAAATGTTTGCGCAAAGGAAATGAAGCCTTTTGTACATCTTTGAACTCAACAGCGTGGTTGTGCTGTAGGTGGATGTGTTACTTTGGATATTCCCGATAGTTTTAAGACAAACTTTGCATTTTGTGTTCTTCTGCTATGAGGTAATTTTGGTGCCACCAAACTGAGCCTGAATCGAGAACAATGTGCTTCGTTTAAACTCGCACACCATCGCTCAAAACCGGTCTTCTGCACGCTCAACTCTGACAACACTCTCAGCTTCTTCTCTGCTCTCGCTCGACTCCACAGGATTTACTAATGCAATTTCATTTAAACCTGTGTTAGATGCTTGTTCACTGGGTTTATCTGCAATTCTTTTTTTTTTACGCTTCTGACTGGAATAGTGGAGTCACGTGATTAGACACACACTACCATGTCTTAAAGGGAAGGAAATGCCAGCAATGAGCGCACACAGGAAAAACGGCAGAATTATTTACCGACTTATTTACTGAGATGGGAAAATTATCGCCGGTTATCGGTTTACCGCCCAGCCCTCGTTCAAAGCAGCATTTTCTTACCTCTTCCACAATGGAAGAGAGGGCCCTGGTTTTGCCGTCCTTGTCTGGTTTGATTCTCTCGCTGACGAAGTCCACCACCTCCTGACTGCTCAAAACGTTCCTGCAAACACATTAACAATGGCTTTTAAATGATGTTGCTCAATACTGTATAGGGTCAATATCGCAAATTTCACAAAGCTTTCGGTATCAGAAATAAAAAATTTGCATCCCTACTTATTGGCTTTAGACTCACCAGATGCCGTCACAGGCTATAACCATGAAGTCGTGATCCTCGTTTAGTGTCAGAACTTTGACGTCAGGCATGGCGGAGATCATCTGCTCCTCAGGGGGCAGCGTTTTGTTCCTTTTATAGAAGTGGTCACCTGAGAGAACGTGAGCAAATAACCACTCTGTTCATTTAAGGTGTAAATGTCCAAAAAGACCAAAAAAATTCGATAAAGCCGTAGTAGATTTAGAGTGAGCTTTAAAAACTCCCACCGATGGCTCTGGAGAGGTTCAGTCCACCGTTGACCCGCCCCTCCATGGTCACCTTCCCTCCAGCATTTTTGATGCGAGTTAGCTCCACCTCATCCTCTGGCTTGTGGTCGTAGGACATGTCAACAGCTTTGCCTGAAGCAGCAAATGAACACGGCTATGTTATTTCTTACAAAGCAACTGAAAAAAACCTGGTATTTAGTCAAGTTTTCCTCCTGCAGGAAGACTTAGACAACTTTGTCATTTTTTTATACAGTGTATAGAAAACAAAAGTTCGTTTAGTACAGCTTTTCAGACAGTAAATGAACATTTCCATTTTATAAAGTGCAGCAGGGATCAAATGTAAACAGTGTAAGAGAAAAAAAAACATGGTGCAAAAAAATAAAAAGATGCATTGATATGGAAGTTCAGTACCCTAAATTAATATGAATTTTTTGGTGGTAGTGTGATGCAGGGTCTGGGGTGGGGTTCTGGAGACTGGAGACCATGTGTTCTTTAACCAGCCTTTTAAGGCACTTGTCCAACAGGCCAGTAGTCATTGAGTAAGTTGACCACTCCAAATGATGAACACCGTTTCTTCAGGGAACGTTTGGTGTAATTAACCTTTAACTCTACAATCTCACCTTGAATGTCAAAAACATATAAAAACTAATCTGAGTGGTAAAGGCCGAATCACGTTTCTGTAAAAGTTTGCAGGCTTTCAACATATATTGTACACTTATTTTGTTTTACATTCCCTCATGTATGTCCAGCTATACAAACTAATAGTATTGGTCAACTAAAAACTAGTGTAGAAAAAAATCCAGTATACCTGGCCCACAGAATATATAAACAGACTAAACCTGCGCAGCAACATCTGAAAAAAATAAATTAATTAAATGACTGGCGAGGAACAATGTTGGGCGATATGTAACAATTTTCTAAAAGATATTCGTCAGTCGAACAAATGACAACGCCCAGGTCTCCAAACCAAATGCACATTCCCATTTCGCTGCAGATATTTTACCAGCTGATCAGTTAAGAATCATACTGAATTTACCCCGTTCAGAAACGACGCAGCGGGAGTCGCCAGCGTTGGCCACAATCAGCTGCTTCCCTCGGATCAGAGCCACAACAGCTGTGGTGCCGCTGTCTGAGCCGGGCTGTGGACACAAATATGAAGGTTGGGACATGACCTTAACAACTACAATGGGTTAGGCATGTAGACACAAACATTTTGAAGGGAACACATTATACCTAATATTAAACATTTTGAATAAGTCTGTCATCTATGCAAAATATGATAATTACATCTTTTGCACAAAATAATTCTCTGCTTATGTAATTTAGCAGGGCTCTGTCACTTTTAAGCCAATTAACTGCAGCTGGCCTGAATCACCATTTATATTTGTACATTATACCTGTACAACTTCTAGCCAGGAACATTTCATAGGATGTACAACTTGGTGGATCACATCTCTAGGTCTTTGCATTGTAGGGAGTCCACAGTTATCCTCCCCGGAAAGAGTTGAAATTTAGACTCTCTGAAACATTATTTCCTGGATTTCGAGGTGCAATGCAGCTAACTTTTTGTCTTCGCTAGAAACACTACTTTTGCCCTTATTATGGGAAAAATGTGTGCTTGACTAGAGGTAGAGATGTCATCAGGAAGACATGATATCTTTTTGTCTGATAGGTTAATTCAAACCGTTAGAAAGTGTAACTTAAACTACTGCTAAAGGTGAAACCTGATAACATAAACAGGTTGAACAATGAAAAACTCAAAAACAGCTCGTCATTCCACCACATTCCGAGGTAAAATTAGTGTGTACCAAACACAGAGTGCACAATTTATAATATTTTTAGTAAAGAGCGTACAATGTAGGCACATACCCAATGTTAGCTAAAAGCCCAACTGTACATCTGTGCCACATTCAGACCCACAAGCTGAAGAAATGGAGCCTCATACACAACCAGCAAGAGTTTCTGAATGGTAAGATAATTAGTTATCATTAAGAAACTCTCTGATGTAGCACTGGAGAGCTCTGGAACTCTTTGGGACTACTTTAGAGATAAAGAGCCTCATTTCTGCAAACTGTTCTATAAACCTGTCCTGTTAGGACAGTTATGTTTTTAAAATTAGGGTATCCGCCCACGCATTTCATAGCGGCATAGGAAGATATTAACGTTGCCTCCCGTAATGGAGAAAAGACGGAACATAATAGGGGTAGGCTTACTTGGCAAAGAGGTAAAAAACATTAAGGTTTAGAGGAAGAAACATGTATAATGAAAGTATATCAGATTTTCTGCCTCCGAGTGGCATTACTGAAATAAATTAACTTTCTGATCCTATTTTAATGAAAGGACATGTTGTGAGGCTGTGCTTCCAGTTTGAAAAGAGCTGTTCATACATTAACCTCCCCGCTTGACCAAATCATGGAGAGGATAGCCTAAAACATGATGTTAGGAATCCTCTGAAATAGCTAGGGGTTCTTGATTATTAATCTGGTTTCTGAACAGCAGAATTAAGAGCATGAAGGTGTAGCCCTAAAGAACTAGAAGCAAACTTTCCCAGCGTTTAGGCTCCAAATCTAACAAAGCTTAAGACGACATTAACTAAACGCTTCCTTTCCACACCTCTTCTTTTCCATCCACCCCAGGTAGACACATCTCCTCATCCTCGTCCTCTTCATCCTCAGAGTCTTCTACGTCCTCTTCCTCTATCTCACTGCTGTCAGCTTCCTCCTCATCACTCCCATCCTGTGAGGAGAAAAAAAAAAAAAAAAGCTGAAGGAAAGTTCTACAAAGTGATTCAGTGCGAAATTTCGCAGCCTAACAGCAGTTTATTCTGGTCTCCTCTTCTCACCTCTTCGTCACTGCCCTCCTCCTCCTCCTCCTCTCCCTCCTCAGACTCTTCACTCTCATCAAAAAACCTGGATTTTGCATCTCCATCAGCCTTAGAGGACGCAGAGGAGCAGGAAGGCCCTGCATCTCCTTCTGCTTTCCCAGCCTTTTCCTCTCCATTGGAGCTTCCCGACTCTCCACTTTTAACTGCACAGCGAAAAGTGAAGGAAGGTTATAAAAATGTCTAAAGGAGGAATGAACGTGCATAATACAACCATCCCTGAATGTAATGTCTTTACCTGAGCCGCTCCCTGCACCTCCTCCTGTTCTCCGACAGGCTCGTAGCTTAGACCCGCACCCTGCTGCTCCGTCCTTCCCCTTTCCATCACTCTCCTCCTCCACCTCTCCATTCACTCCTTTCTTCTGTGGCTCAGAATCTTCTTTATCTTTCGAGACGTCGGCATTCTGGGGAGAGGCCTTCTTACCTACCCCGCTAGGAAGAGAAGGGGCACGCTGAAGTTCAGCAACCTGATGCATCCTGATGTGTGTTAATCTAAAACTTAAATGACTGTTTCTCATGAGTACCTGGCGGCTGCGGCCGCAGCTGCGTGTTTGACAGCATTAAGGTTTTGACCGTAGCGTACAAGCAGCTCCTCTATGGTCATGGTGGCCTCCTCGTGGAGCAGAGCTGCCTCCTCTGTGTCCACTTCAATCAAGAGGCATCAAACATTTTAAATATGTTGCTATGATTGTAATAAGTTTGGTACATTTATAGTGAGAGCTGTTTCCGTTTATTCTGACAGCTATAAGAAACTCTTTACTGGGCTGCACTTACAGTCGTCCTCCTCTGCAACCTTGTTGGAAGGCGGCTCCTCAGCAGGGCGCCCAGAAATCTGTGTCAACTCCTTAATGACCTCCTCCATAGTTATTCTCTCATCTATGGCCAAAAATGCATCCTCCAGTGCCTGAAAACACAGGAATAAGAACATCTTTGAAAATAATTCTTCCTGCTGAACCTCTGATTCAGAACACACCACAGCCAATAAGAACACACACTGGAGAATTGAAATGACTTCATATAACCAAAGACGTAATTAGTTTTAGTAATTCAATCCCAGTTTTATTTTTTATTGCTTATATCCAACAAAAAGCTATAATTTTATTTGTTCTTTGGGGTCCATGTAAACCTACACAGCCATGGGAGGGCTACAGGAGGCAACTTGCTAAAAAAAGGAGCAAAGTGGTTAAAGAATGCTCAACAGAAGCATAATAATGGGAAAATAAGTGGAGATAGGCCTGGGCAACAAAACAATAACATGTATTACTATAAACATTTGGTGGCTGGCAGATGCAAACGCACAGTACTGTGAATGCACTGTGAAACAAACTCCAAAACACAAAAACTATTGCAACAGAAACAAAAAACCGCTGCAAGCAAACAAACAAACAAAAGCTATGAATAGAATAAAAAAACCTACAATAAATACAACAAAAGACTTCAAAAGATGCTGCAAACAAAATGCTGCAATTAGTAAGAAAATGATGCAATAGTAAAAACAGCAGCAAATCAGACCCTCTGTATAACAAGGAAGTAGCCTTAGTGCAGAATTTTTTTTTTTTTTTTTTTTTGTTTTAATTTTTTTTTTTTTTTTTACAGAAAACTGAAGGAGTGGTTCATTTTTTTTTTTTTAACCACCTGAACTTATTACAGTAGAACACCACAGTTATGGGCTCTATGCACAGCTCCACTACTTCCTGAATTTAAGGGAGCTCCTTTGTTTCCTGTCTTTCATTACTGGACGAACTGATTAATCCAGGTGTGTCTGGCCAGTTACTTAGGTCATACACACTTGGATTAATCAGTGCATCCAATCATGAAAGACAGGAAACAAAGGAGCCTCCTGAAGTTCAGGAAGTGGTGGAATTGTGCATAGAGCCTATTGCACAGTAACATCTGAGCAACAGTCTGTTCAGATATGGTTTGCTCTTCAATCGGCTCCCTCTACTGGTCTGGAGCACTTCCATTTTCTTTCTGGGGCGAGTTTACAGTCGTTTTTACTATTTGCATTATTTTCTTTCTGTGCTGTCAGCAATTTGTTTTTGCATTTGCTTTTGACAGTAGGTTTTTGCCTCCATTTCAGTGAGTGCAGCATTTACTTTTTTTTTTTTTTCTTTTTTTAAGTGTCTTTCTGTTTCATTTTTTATGCATTTGTTTGTCTTGGATTTCTCATCACGTATTTTAGTTTTGCAGGTTTTTTTTTTTTATCCTATAAGCCACCATATACAAACCTGATCAATATCAACAGAAAATACAACTGATAAAACATTGTATAACTTAACGGAGTTACATTCCAGAGGTGCAAGGCATTTTGGGGGGATTTAGGCAAAGGAAAGGATTTAGCTTTTTAACCTCTCAAAGCCAAACTAAGTATAGCTAGTAGTAGGGCTGACCACTTTTCCTAGAATGAAGGTTATGCTAATACAATGGCTGCATGTTTTCCCCCCCTGGTCTAGTTAAAAAAAGCAAAAACAAATATTGACTGCTATTAAAGACCTACATCATGATACATTTTACAGCCATATCACACAGCCGGAAGTGCAAGGAAATAAATGGGAGACATTGTCTCATTATCTCTCACTAGAAGCAGAGGGATTTGGGATATCCAGGTGCTTCATAATTCTGTCGGCAGTCAGGTCTTGATTAAAAAAATTTACCAGAGATAGGCAGTTACTAATTAATTTTAATCATCTGCCGGTGGATTATTAAAAACAGCAGATTAAATTTCCAAAGTTCAGCAGTAAGTAATCTGGATTCTTTGCTCATAAAATCACTGAATTGTGCTTTTATTCTTTTTCAGATTTGTCTGTCAACTAATAACAGAAACTGAAATCTAAACATTTATAAAAGGAGCATGACTCAGTAGGTCATGATATAACATTTCTATGATAAACAATCATAGACAATTAAATAAACATTGATGCTGTAATATTCTACCCTCCTGAATAACTGAACAATCTGAATGGATCTTTCTCCAACTAAAGCATTGGTAAGAGTTTCCCTTTTGCAAAAGATTCCTGGCATAGATAATCTTTTTAATTACATTCTAATTTATTGGTTCTTCAGGATGAGCTTAACATTCTTAACCAGCTTCTCACCTTCTGCAGCTTGCCATCTTTGTACATCTTCTGCTCTTTGATGATGTCAGGAAGATACTTTGAACAGTAGAGAGCCACCTCCTCACCTAAACGGGAGCAGCAGGCAATATAAAACCTCAAGATAGGAGAGCGACACGTAAAACAAACAAACTAGTGAACGTCATGGAAACGGCACAAAAACAGGTGTACTGTCATAAAACAAACTGAAGCAAAGTTAGCCTATGAGATAAAAGCTGCAGTTGTTTCCAGAGGTTCCTCTGCAATTTTCATTTCAGTATTAGAACTTGTATTTTGTAAACATTAAATAATAAAAACAAAAACATATTTTACGACAGAAACATTATTGTTATTATTAACTTTTTTTTAAGTGGTCTGCATTTAAATATGTTTTCTACAAGTGCAAATCAAAATGAAAACCAAAGACCAAGAATGGAAATGCCTAAGACTGGAGGAACAATCCTCTATTGTTTTGTAACCTAATCTTTATCTGTTTAATTGGTTAAATTATACCATGAGATTAGTACAGGTGAATTTGGTTTAAAAGAGGTCAAATATTTTAACCTTAAGACTAATATTATAGATAAAACCACATCCAGGGTAGATGCATTTTTTAGGTTTAATCTGCTTGGATCACCTTATTAGAAGAAATTAACATGTTTAGTTAAGCACAAATTATTGAAATATTAAGACTGAAGACCTGACCAATTAAAAGCAAAAAACAAAACAAAAACTAAAAAGTATTAGTAAAAAAAAAAAATCAGATTCTTAAATCTTCCAGACTTTCAGAGACAGACAAAACAATGAGAGCTTTACCTCCATGTCCATCATACACAGCAAACATGGCTGTATCTTCATCAAAGTCTGGAATGCAGTTGTGGGCATCCTGAGGAAGAAATGAACCACAGATTTATCAAAGTTAAAACAGTAATTTAAATAATGTTTTAGTAAATATTTTTATTTATCAAACAAACAGGTGTTAGAAAGTAGCAAGCTGCAACACTTCCTCCCTTGATTAAAAAGCTCATTAATTGGTTTCTGCAGAACCAAATACATGCAGTCAATACTTGTTTTGTTTCTTTTCCATTTCTTAACTTTGTACTTTTGATTGAAATTTCAATTCTGTTCATTCATATGGCACCAACTCACAACACATGTAATCTTGAAGCCCTTTATATTGACAATTCAATCAAATCATACAGAAAAGAAATTCCTGTGCTAAGAAATACTAACTATTCTGATGAACCAACAATTTTTAGTAATCGTGTACAATCTACATAGAATATACAGTAATTCAGTAACCATCTATCAAAAGCACCATTTCTAAAAGTCGTTTTAATATGTTCATTATGAAGCCCATGGATATCCCATGTTCATGTTCCATAAATCTTTGGAAACAATTATAAAACATTTAAAAAATTTGCTGTACATTAATGAATCTACCCCGATAAATTGTGGTCATATTTTACTACAAACAAAAAAATAGTGATTTTTTTTGGTTTAAAAAGCCAATAGGAAAAGAACAAATTGGCAACATTAATGCACAGAATTGACCCAGATGGACATTGTAAATATCAGCTACGTTTGGTGAAACAGGGCAGGTCATTGAGAATAAAAGGTTTGCATCATTTAGATTATTTTATCAGATTTTATTGCATTAGAATTTCTCAATTATGTATCACATCTTTGCAAGTGAAGCATGAAATACATTTTGCCCACAAACAGATGTAATCTTTATTGTTCCTTGATTCACATCTAAGGCTGAAGTTTCATGTCTGGATCGATGATTTACAAACCAATTTAGCTTAGAGTCACAAAGTTAAATCTGCCCCAACATGCAGCTGAGGGGTGGGTGTAGTGTTCATTTCATGCAGCCTACAACCCAGGGCAGCAGACCCAATCAGATATATAGCCGATATAATCACACATATTCTGGTAATAGCCGCTCCAAATCCTTAAAAAATTGTATTCATGAAATGTGTTAATACTAATGGGGGTGGGGGGATTGGGGTACTATGATGAACTTTTTAGTTTAATAAAAATAGAATTAACTTCAGGCACATGCATTATCTTGTAATCCTTCCTTTACAGTAGGATTCAGAATAACCACCGCTAACATGTGTTATTGTTGCTGAATGTTGGGGTAAAGATGTGATTTGCAGTAAATACTTCCAGATGTCTTTCTGATTTGGTTTCATTGCAAACATACCAGCTTCAGTTTTGATGCTTTATCCTCTAAAACCGTGATCTAAATCCTAGTCCTAAGGGTCCACTGCCCTGCCTGTTGTATCATTTCCCCGCTGTGGCACACATGGCACGCTGAGGAGGTAATACAAACGCTTAAAACAAGTGTAGTGGAGACATCTAAATCATGAAGGACACTAAGCCCTGAGAATTGTAGTGGAGACCCGCTGCTCTAAAACATTCTTATGCTGTTACAATCAACCAGTGTTCAAGTATATTGTTCATTTACAAAACTTAAATAAAAGGTGCCAAATGAACTGGCTAATATCTATTGCAATGCAAGTAGCTTTGACTCTAACAAGGTCCCAATCAGTGACCTTGCAGCTCTAATTAATACTTCAATTAACAACCTGTAGCAAATGTTTTTCTCCTTTAAGCGTTGTAACCCTTCAAAGAACACAAAAAGCACAGGGGTTTAAAATTCGAAAGGCCAGATGAGCCCTAAAAGAAAAGCACATTATCAACCGAGCTTATTTGATCCATCTCTAATGGTTTAAAATCCAAAATCAAAGTGGAAGTTCCAGAATGAACTACTTATCCACAAGTCTCTCCCTTGTATGCTATATTTTTTCCCCAGTTTTATCTAAAAAGCTGTCCCTTATTTAAGGTGACCTAAGCCTTTCTGCAGCCTGATGCATTTCTTGTGAAATAAAAAGTGGAAAGACACCCTCCCTCAACCGCAATATTAATTGGCTGCATGGATGTGGTGATCTGAGACCTAGCCGGGTATAAAACACAAACATTTTACAATAAATTATTGTGGATTTCTTTTTTTTTTTTTATTATAAATATTTCACACAATAATATAAAACAAAAGGACTTTTGAAAATAAATGCAACCAAATATGCTTTTGGCTGAGCTTTGGACATGGATTTCCATTTCCCTCTGGAAATAAATCTGCAGGATGCTTCGAAGGAAGTGCGCAAGTCAGGCAACCACAAAAATCTTAGGTCAGTGGCTTTGTTATGCCAGCACATGCTCTATGCAATGGTGTTACATGCAGTGGGATTTCATCTCTGCTTTTAGTCTGCACATCAAAGGGACAGCAAATATTCAGATGCTGGCAAAGATTAGTTCTAGCAAAGACCCAATTAAATTATACACATATTTTATGTGCAGCAAAACTTCCACAGACAAACATTTTCCTTTTTACTTCCAGCTTCATTTCTATAAGACTTCAGAAGTTAAGTGGGAAAGGTAACTGATATAATCCGTGTAAAACGCCCTATAATAATCAGTATTAGTCAATCACGTGCCTTTGAAGTTGTCTTTATTATATGTAAATGATAATACTTATAGCCATGATTTATAGTTATGTTACTCGGTTATTGAATGTGATTATCAGCCGCTGGTTTCAGTAAACAAGCTACCATGATGGTGGAGCAGTCAATGACTTTCTGCCTCACCTCCATGGAGACCCGCCAACCCTGCATGGCAGAGAAGCCGTAGCTCATGCTGCTATTGCCGCCGTCGGAGGAGGTCTTGGTGGTGTTCGGCTGCGACAGATATGCCCCCATCGTGGTCTGCAGTGGCTTCCCACCGGGAGAGAGGACAACAGCACATGTTAGTTCCTTATATAAAGGAGACGTGGGTTTCAACGAATGAAGGGAGCAGCTTCACAGGTTAACACCGCTAACCAGCTAGCAGCAGTTAGCAACAGCACAACAAAAAGTAAAAAAAAAAAGGCACCAGCTCGCCGCTACCAGCGGCAAAACCGGCTCAACTTCCAGCCGGACGTTCCAGCCTTTCGCTGGCGTTACGTTAAGCTGCAGCAAACCTACCTTTTCTGGCCGCGCGGATTTGGCTTAAAAAAGGTGCAAATGTGGATTCACATAGAAATTATTACACGTGTTTAAGAAAAAGCCGCTGTCTTCTCCTCCCTCTCCTTCTGCTGCTGCTACTTTTACTTCCTCTTCTTTACACCGAGAAGTGGTCGGCAAACCGATTGAAACGAGTGCTACCGCCACCTACTGCCCAGACTGCTGAAACACACCATAAACTAAAGAAAAGTTTGGTTAATTCTTTTCTTTTGTGAAGTTTAATAGCGGTTGGTATAAAATTTGAAAGTGCATTACCACCAAAAATGACAGTTTATCAACCAATAAATGTATCTACTTTACTTTATATCTATAATATAATAAATCAATATCCTATATCTTTATCTCATATAATCACTATTTATTATCATTATTAATATCTTAAAATTTTATGTTCCAAGTGCTCCTGTTTTTCCCTCCATCTCCAACCGTGTAACACTTTTTTTTCCAAAGGGTTGGGGTTAAATGTTTCAGGTCTCTGGTAATGATCCTGATTGTCTCTGTCTTATGTTTGGCTTGGTCTGTGCAGTTGATGACATGGGCTACGAATCAAAGGAGTTTCTCTACTGTTTGAGTGAAACTATATTCTCTTTCTTCTTTATTTTGCTTTTAGACCTCATTCTGAGCTTGATTCATTTCTCCTGTCCTTTGTCCTTGAGCTCCCTTCACTGCTTCTGTGTCGCTTATATTTTTTTATTGTTTTAATATGTTGTATTTCCACTGCTTTCTTTCTCACCTCACATCCTCCATGGTTGACTCTGTACTGGCCGTCACAGTTGCAGCACTTTTCTTCAGTTTCTTCCCTGCACTCCTCGATTCTGCGTTCTTCTCCTCTTACTTCTCATTTCAGAGACATTGTAGTGCTTTATTTTTTAACATAGTAACACAAGATATTTTTCCGATTAAATATATGTTTTTCATTGTTTATTAAAGTCCCAAAAAGGAAATGTTTTCTCTGTTTAAACTTTTATAGCGTATGCAACATGCAACTGGTTTCAGTTCAGTACAATTCAGTACTGGTTTTAGAGTCTTTTGTAAAAAACTCTGCATTTATCACTGTTAAAAGAATGGTGTGCAGCATTCGGAATTTAATGTTTAAAACATTCAGATCACATTTCCTTTTACTTAGTAACAGCTTAATATATTTTTTGATTTTCATTATTATTATTATTATTATTATTATTATTATTATTATTATTATTATTATTATTATTATTATTATTATTATTATTATTTATATGTCCATCCTTCTTGTCACATTTTTATTTCTCTGTTATTGTCTTATCCTTGTTATGTGACCAATCTGTTATAGATACCCCTGGGACTCATTACTGGAAGTTTCCTCCTATTAAAAGGGTTTTTTCCCCTCTTCACTGTCACTGAAACATTGCTTAATTTGAGGTTTTGCTGCAGAGTAATCAACACAAAGCAAGTGACTGTCCATTGATGCCTGCAAAGTCAATGCCTGCATGCAACCAGCTAAGAGAAAGAGTTATAAAACACTCCGGTATATTTTTATTTATGTGATAAGCATTCCCAATTAGATTTTCCATATTTGTTTCACATTGTTTAGAAAAAGAAAGAGCTTTCCTATAGCGACTGGTTCTGTCACAGCTGTTGACGTAGCTCACATATTTTTTTTTTTATAATTTCAGGACATTACTATCACACAATATCATATGACATCAGAATAGATATCATTTTGAGACATCATGGGTAAAAAATTGCAGTAAATGTGCAATTTTTTCCAGAATAACTGCATAACTAACTGTATAACTAACTGTATGTTTTTACTGTCAGTTTAAAACCGTAATAGCTATGTCCTGAGTTATATAGAAAAAGTTGCTGAATTGAATATGCACCAAGTAGGTAGGCCTACTCTCATTTAACCACCTCTGATTTGCATTCTGGTTTATTAGTGAGATGTATATTGATAGATTCATAGTAGTATCACATCTTAAATAAAACCAGGAATGAAAATAAAAATGAGGGCTATTACAGAAAACCCTCAGTATGAATTAATAGAATAATAATTTTTAACAAGTGATTTTTAAGTTTAAGTTTACGTATTGAAATCATTGCAGATATTTGAAAAAGCTTCATGACCCTGTTGATATTAATATAGTTTTTAGTAATTACGGCTCATACTTTGGAAAGAGCTCCTGTTGCATGACTAATATTAGCTAGTTATTACATGACAGAATAAAAAATCAGTTATTGATTTTATCAAAACTTCTCAAGAGAGACATTTCCCCCCCACAAAGAAACAGGAATTTGATTCTGTATTTGACCAACAAATGAAAACTATCTCTGGTCCTATAGTGTATTCACATCATGATGCAACTAACACCATGTTTATCATGAATGCTTTGCTGCTTTGAAATGAATGCTTTCCTTGCTCTGACTGTCAGTCTAGACAGAAGTCAGTGGTCTGTTGGGTTTGCAGCTGTGCAATATATTTTTTAGGTTTTGAATTACTGTGTTCTGGGCCAGGAAAATTGTTTTATTTTCTAAACCTACTTTACTCTTCCCTAAATATGTTTCATTGACCTGTCTTTTGCGTTCCTAGGCCTCATTTGTGCATTTAGACCTCAGAATAGTCTGAGGCTAAACATAGAACAGCAATTTTAATCCTGAATTTAAATTACACTCAGATGTACTCTGAAAGTGATTGTTTTACATGAATATATGTGTAAGTATCAGGGTAAAAGGGGCTAAATACAAACACATACTGCAATTTTAAGATTTATATTTGTAAAATGCTTCTTTCCACTTAGGTATTCTTAAGTTTGTTTTGGTCTGTCACAGAGAATCCAGCTGTCATGACATAAACAGATACGAAAAATTTTACTTTCATGGGTTTTTTTCTTCTATTTTCTATAATTTGTTGATAAAACTGTGTTTCAATTTCTTAATGATGAAATCAAATTTACATTATTGAATATTTTCTTTGATTTCCTGGCAATGCTTTATAGCCAAAGATACTAGTAACTGGATGACTTAGCAGTTTCCCCCCCCCTACCAGAAGGTGGCGATAAAGATCAGGACTTGGTTTTTCCACTCAACACTAAGAATGAGTATGGATAGTCACCAGTAAAAACGTTTTAAATGGGGGGTTGTGCGACTTCCGTAGAATTTGAGAATGTGGTTAAAAAGTTGAATAGTATTGAGGGTTAGAAGAATATATATATATATATATATTTTTTTAAATACTGGGATTATTACGATAATTTGGGATATAGATATTAGGATCAATAGATGGCAGTAGTGCAGCAATAATGGATGCAAGCTGCCATTAAAACCTAGAGAAGAAGAAGCTAGTCATCAGCAGTTAAATATGGCGCGGGAAACAATGTCGGGGATGGAAATAGTTGAAGCAGATAAAGAAGAAATGAGCCGCTTTTCTTCTTCATCTCTAAAACTTTACGAAGCGCAGTTTTTTGGCTTTACTCCGCAGACCTGCATGGAGCGGATCTACAGCTCCTTTCATGAATGCCTGTGTGACATTTTAGCTTCGGTGGAGAAGGTTTGCGTCAGCGAGCTGGTGAAAGGCCAACCGAATAGTGCCGAGGAGTCAGTCCGGTCCAGGGCCAGAGACTGCACCCGCCAGCTGCAGCTCTTCCTGGAGAAGCGCTTCAAGCAGCTGGCGGAGCGAATGGAGGCGCTGCTTATGAGTCGGTGTTTCATCATACCTCCAAATGTCCTGCTGCCAGAGGATCAGTCCCATCAGAAATACCCCCAGGACATAGAGGTGAGGAAAGAGTTAAATGCTGTCTATATTTAAACAATTTAATTTAACATTTTTCTGACATTTAGTCACTTCATTAAGGTTTTATGTGCTTAATGTCTTGACTAACACGAATATTCTCAGATGGTAAGCATTTTCCTCCAGCTCTGGCTGTATTTGTAGGCCTGTTGTCTTGGTTGCTTCCGTTTGCTCAAGTATCCCCAATGCACAGGCATAATGCTGCCACTACCGTGCTTGTCCATGGAGATGGTGTGTTAAAAATGATGAGCAGTATTTATTTTCATCCTTACTTTTTATTTTTGGTATTATGGCTAAAATGCATTTAGCATATGCATAAAGAAAGCATATCAACATAAAGCCCTGATTTATTTAGGTAAAACAATATTATCATTCAGCTGTAATGATATAAATTGATCTTTTGGAGATACGTGTGAAGGGGTTTCTTGGTGGTAGTATGAATTACTGTGGATTTAAAGCTTCATGATTCTCTTACTAGACTTGTTTGGGATAAAACAAAGTCATCTTTTACCAACATAAAGATCACGCATATCTTGGGCATGCATTTCGTAGAAAGTTGAGAGGAAAGGCTCAAACACCAAACATGAAGTATGCTGGTGAAGATTCTCAGTCATCCAGGTCATAGTCATTCCAAAACAGTTAGAAAACAATCCACTGGACTTTGCTTTTTAAATTTGAAGATGTTTTGCTTCCCATCCAGGAAGATTTTTTAAATCAAAATGTCTGGATTAGCATTGAGTTCCAGGCTTTATAGAGCAGCCCAACAAAAGCCTTGTTATGCCTTAGAAAACATGCAAATTGAACCAAAAGAACAGGTCTAACCCTCAGTAATGGGGAGTTGTTGAGGTCTTTCTTCGCCTGAAATACCAGATACTGGTCTATGCCTCTGAAGGGGACAGACCCGTTCTTCCAGTCAATTTGCAAGTTTTCTAAGCCAAAACAAGGCTTTGTTGGGCTGCTCTATAAACCCTGGAACACAACGCTGATCCAGACATTTTGAATTTAAAAAAGCTTCCTGATGGTAAGCAAAACATCTTCAAACTTGAAAAACGATTCTAGTGTTTTTTTTTTTTTTTTTACATTTTTGGAACCAAACATGAAGTAATAAATTGTTTAATTTCTGTTTCTGTACAATCCTTGTGATAAATAAAGCCTTTTTGTCTATGCTGCTCCTTTCAGGAAGTATTGAAGCTCGAGTCGTCCCTTGCAGATCTCCACAGAGCCTATGAAGCTGAAGTTTGTGCCAGAGAAGCTCTGCTAGCTGAGCTGGAGGAGCAGAGGGAGGTGCAGGAGCAGCTGGATGATATCCTGGCGTGGATCAGAGAGATGCAGGCAGCCTGGGCAAAGGAAGGGAATGGAAACTTCCAGGAAACCTTCAGCCTTGTGATGGAGTCCATAAGGAAACTGCAGAGGGCTGTCAAGGAGATTCTGGTCCATAGCAAAACGCTCAACTGAACTGAAGCTTACAATCCAATGTAAATAATCAAACATTTGTTCACTTTTGATGTATTTTATATTAATATCTGTAAATTTAACCAGCTTTTTCACAGTCCTCTTCTTTTTTACCCATAGGATCCTTAAGTGCAGTTTTATACAGTTTCAGTTCCTCAGTATCTCTTTTGTTTAGTTTTCTTTTTGCCTCTCATGATTTCTCGTTTTTTTGTTTATGGTTGTATTAATATGTTTGTGTGATTTATGAGAATATATACTAACCTTATCCTACCTTCTGTTTGACCTATGACCTCTCCAGGAATGATTGAGATATACCTTTTTATTGTGTAGCAGATGTATTAGTACGACGGAGTATTAGGTCAAAGCTAGAGATTTTTTTTATTGTGAGAATAAAGTCATATAACGAGAATAAAATTGTATTTAATGACAACTCTTAGGACTTACTTTCCTAAAATGAGAAATGTTGAGCATCATGTGAAGTTATACTTTGGCACCAGTTTGACAAATAAGGAAATATTAAGTCTTTTAACACCAGCATCAAATTCGGCAGTATGTAAAAGTGGTCTCAGGTTTCTGTTTGGTGGTGCTGGTCGGAAGTCGAAGCTTTCTTTCTGAAACAGCTTGTGGTATGATGACTTCATTCTTGTTATTTTTTAGCTTTATTCTTGGGGAAAAAAAACAATCTCTAGCCTGGCCCTAATACTTGTAGTATTAGTACTCTGCAAACCACTCTGGTTTTTGTCATGTTACTAACGTAAACCTAATTGCCCTTTGTTTGGTTTTTATGTTGCAGCACAATATACTAGTTTATTACTTTAAGATGGAAAGAAAAGGATACACTGTAATTTGTAGTAAAATCATGTGTCTGCAAAAGTCATTATCTAGCCACCCGTTAGATAATAAATTGTACAGTTCAGTTTTAACTTATAAAAACGATACAAAGCTCTGAATCACAAAGGTCATTTTTCAATTCAGCACCTGAAAATGAAAGAAATATGGCAGCTGACCTAAACAGACAGGTTGAACAAGGACAGCCTATTTTATGAGTACCTAAATGTATTTGAATTTCACGATGCCCATGGTACCTTGAAGAGCTGCAGAGATCCACAGCATCCTGGGAACAACCTCTCAGGTATTCTACAATGTGGCCTTCATGGAAATTGGCAGGAAAAAAGCCATACGTCCGGTTAACTGTTATTCACCAGCGAAAACTTGGAAGAATTATATTTCTCGGATGAAAACTTGCCTACATGAACATAAACCTCACTGTGTCAAATTTTGGTGAGATTGTAGTATTGGGAATACATTTTTCAGTGGAGACGTGATGATGGGAGGATTGTTTCAAATTCAGAATGGTACAAGTATTCTAGAGTTGGCAAAATACTCGATGGGCAGGAAGTTCACTTCTTAGCAGCAAAGGGAATTTAAAGCCGCAGAGTCAACTAAATTATATCAAAGTGCACACTTATCAAACTGGACTAGTCATAGACCAGGCCTAAATGAAAAAGGTCAAATATGAATTCTGACAAGAATTGAACCAAACAGGGATGATTTAAGAAAAACAAAAAACAGCCTATACCGAAACACTTGCAGCTGTTATTACAGTAGGGGGTTTACTAAAACACTGACTCAAGGTGATTGAATTCCAGAGTAGAATAGAATTTAGCTTTATTGTCATTACACTGTCACAAGTACAAAGCAATTAAATGTAGTTTTCGTCTATCCAGAAGTGCTAGGATATAAATATTTATCTACATGTGCATAGAAACTATGTATGTTTTGACTATAAATGGTATATATAAACAAAGTAATTGTAAGAGGCTGTAAAATAAATATGAAAAACTATATACAGATTATATAGGAACTATATGATATGGATTACATATTAGTGAGGTTACAATACTGGATAAAGTATGACAGAAAATAGCAGATAAAAAATACACAGCTATAGTTGAGAGGTGAATGTAAGTGGGGTTGGTTCTGAAGGTTGTTGAGTAAACCCCACTATTGAGTTTTTTTTCTAAGAAATTAAAACGTTTTTAAATGTGTGTTCCTCTATCAGACAAATTGCAATATAAACTGAGGTTCGTGGCTGAAATGTGTTTTAAGGGGGAAATTAAAGAGGTAGGATTTTCTTTTAAAATCCTGTTTGCCTCAATCATCCATTTATAGTTTCTCACCAGTAGGGGGCAGTATATGTGTGTTGTATTTATCATATAAAGACAACCAATCCTTTCTGAGTAAGGTGTCCTACCATAACAAACGCTAAAATGTAGGCTATATATATAAAGGTGTATAGAAATAAGGTTGTATGGGTAAACTCTTTATAGAGTAACCAAACAACATTGGTACTCTTAAAACATGTTAAAAAAAAATAAATAAAAAATCTGATTTAAATTTAACCACTGTGTCAGGTCTGAAAAATGAAATAGATCAAAAATGAAGAAGTGCCCTCACTATAGGCAAATACATGTATTCGTTTATGTTTGCAATTCCTCATTACGATTTCTAAGGCGGCTTTAGACAGAGAAAGTTTACAATGCAAACATAGAAGAGCAGAACTTACTGAGTGAAGGTGGAGAGACAGGGCAAAAGTAAACAAACAGCATTTGTGTTGGCATTCCTTAAATGTGTCTGTGTGTTTACCAGTTGTGACGGACATGAAAGATGATGAGTCCAAATGGAGAGGGGTGGAAACCACTGTTCTTAGAACATCATCCTAATGATCTCTCCTTGGAGGAGACGGTCTGGAAATAACATTCAGTGCAGGCGTTAGGCTTAATAAACTGTTTAGTTTGAGAGAAGCTGGATCTATTTCAGTGGATGTAATGGAAGCATTACATGTATTTTAAATTAGTTATTCTGTGCAGATATATTTGGAGCTGGTGTTAAGAATATTACATGAGTTGCTATATTGCATCTTTTGTAAGGTTTTCAGAGATAATACTGCTAAAGAAAGATTTATACCGCTCTTACATAACATCAACGTTTAGCTGGTCTTTAATAATGACATTTTAGCATTTGATTAAAAAAAAAGGTCAGAATACTCCTACACACAAAATCTTTGTAAATAACAAAACATGTTTCATGAGTGGGCATAAAAAGCTTTCTGCAGAGAGATCTTCCCTTTTTTCTTTCTTTCTTCTTTTTCCATTGGACACTGACTTTAGGTTACTTTTTCCAGAGATTTGCTCTTCACTCTGTGGTTCCATTTATGTTTTGTATTTCAGATTATCCTTTGATTTAAAAACGTTTTTACATACTGCTGCAACATATTGTTGAAAGAAATCCTGACTCTGTGCCCAGCTGTAAAGAGGTTTTATTCAGACAAGCTGTTGTTGGTTAAAACATTTACTTCTCATTCTGCAGGCCAGTTTTTATTTTATAGTCTTCATGTTTGAAGCTACAATTTTAGCAGTATGTAAATTAGGGAAAATAAAGGTAGTTCTATTCAATGTTTTCATACCCCATACATGATCAAACTAAATACAAAACTTATTTGATTGGATTTTTAGATGAGTATCCAACACACTAATGTGAAATGAAAATTCAAGTTGACCCTTTTCAAATCAGTCTTTTTAACTGTGGTTACACCTTCCAATCTGTTGTGGTATGTGTGCACCACATTTGCACACCTACATATCTGCTGAAAAGGGAACTTACTTACTTCACAGTCTCATGTCCCTTGGAGCTTCTGCAGGATGTTCCCCCCAGATTGCCCTGTATTTTGACCTTATCCTTAATCTCTGACCAGCTTCCCTATTTCTGTTGAAAAAATAAATGTCCCCCACCATGATGCACCTACCACTTTGCCTGAAGGCGGGTGTGTTCGTCCATGCATAGTTTTTTGTTATATGGGTCAAATGTCCATTTTTGGTCCATCAGACCTTCTTTTACTACTCCACCCTTGATTGGTTCTTCTAAATATCAACAAACTTAAAATCTTTGTGTGTCACAAAAATGTAAAGTTAGTTCCTTCCATCTCACTGTTGCATCTGACTTTCTAATATACTACCATACAAAATATTGTCAAAATACAAATATAAGTTCTCTGTTGTAAAATAACAAAATGCTAAAAAGTTCAAGTTGTTTGAATATGTTTGTACTCTAAAGCTCCCACTTTGTTCTGAATTTAATTTTAGTTTGGAATATGTTAAAGTTGAAATGTAATTTAGGTTTGGATTGGATTTTCCAAATTTTCAGGTTCTCTAATTGTGGCTCCTAAACCTTGAAAAAACAGAGAGCGTTATCACAGATCCTTCCTCCCAGCAGCTGTAAGACTCTATAACCACCTCTGTTCCCAACAGCCTCAATATGTTGGTACAATAATGAAGATTTTGTACAGTTTCTGTCGCAGTCAGTTAATAACATGCTGTTGTCATTTTTGCACATCTGTGGTGTTGATGTTATTTTTTCCACATATCCATTACAGTAAAAATGTCCACAGCTGTTTGTTGATTATTTATTAGTTCCAGATGCACATTATTTATATTGTAAGAACACTGTACAGTAGAGTATTTCATTTGTTTACTTTATCAGCTCCGTCACTTATTCTGTTATTTTCATACACTTGTTGAAGTTTCACATTTGTCAGACCACTTTTGCTATAATCTTTTGCTGCTATAACACCACAATTTCCTCATTGTGAGGCATTAAATGGATTTTCTATTCTATTCTATTCTATTCTATTCTATTCTATTCTATTCTATTCTATTCTATTCTATTCTATTCTATTCTATTCTATTCCAATAGATTCTATTCTGCCTGGTAAATAATGTAATGGTACCAGTACCTGCTGCAGTGCCTTCGACAGTACATCCTCTAGTACTAATCCATTTCATTAGGATGTTTTTCCCTGCAGAAAAGTTGGGTATGCAATTTAGTGTTCTTTAATTATTCAAAGTCACATTTTTAAAAGGCAACTCTAAAAGTAGGGACACTGTATCTATTTTTACATATATATCTAACATTTTCTTTATGTCACAGGTTATACATGGCAAATAACTTTGCAAACAAAACTGGATTAGAAACAGCGCATCAAAATCCCAGCTTATGTTTTACACTTAAGAGACATTGGAGAGAGATCGGAACCAAGGTAGTGTCTCCAGTTCAGTGAAGTATACATCCTATGAATAATTTTAAGTGGTATTCACCATCTCATTCTATTCCCTACGACTTAGATTTACATTAACATTTTCTAGATTTAGAATTTACCTATATGTGATGTCTTATTTGCAAGTAAAGAAAGTAAAGTAAACTAAAGTAAAGTAAAGTAAAGTAAACCTGAGATGTTATAGTTTGTGGTCAATTGTACGACTGGCATCAGAGTACTACTGGAAAAAAGTCTGTCAGTGTAACGATACTATAGAATGAAAGCCCGATCTTTCAAACAAGGCTGAAGATTTAAATTATTCAACAGCTGAATGTAATTTCATAAAAAGGAGCGTCCTCACATTTTTAGCATAGAGAGGTTATCAACACATGGTGATTTATATGTGCAAAATTAGCACACTTTACATAGTGAAAATGAGTCTATTTGCTTTTTATAGAGTAATGGTGTATTTAGAATCTATGTGTATCTGAGTTGGTATATCTTCATACTAAACATGAGCTCATGTGCAGAGACCCGCAGGACACACTGACTGAAGTTAGCGTGAGCGTGTGAATCAACATGAATGTGTGAGTGAAGACAGCATATGGACAGTGCCCTCCTTCCTGTTGGGAGTGGACCAGCATGGCTCTCTATGAACCAAAGCTTGACCTTTGATCTCTTAGGGTCACACAAAGAAAACACGCAGAGACCAAGATACCTACACATGCATCGTCAGATATATGTCCACTCTCAGCCGACCAGCTGTCCCCACAGACCAAGTGTCCCACACAGAGCATAGAGGAGGTGAGAGTGACCATCAAGCAGATTGTTTGCTTAGGTTGAGAGGGAGAGCAGCTCAGGAATCCACAGTGACTTTCTTTAACCCACGTGCCACTCAGCAGGAAAATCAACACTACGCAGCAGAACTTCTTTTCCGTCTTTAAACACATGTTCCTCACTGAAAAAAACAGATCCAGATCACAAGTTGACTGAGTGATCAATACTAACATAAAGAAACTTACATTTATGAAAATTATAAAATAATCTGACAACTATTAGGGGTATGAACTTGCCTAAATT